GCTGGCTTCCCTGATTTGGTTTCAAGTATGTCCACAAAACATTTATCACTTAAAACTATAGCAAAAACTTTTCCTTTGAAAGGACTTCTTTTCTCTTTCTAGGAAGGCTGTACTAGCTCCTTTCCCCACAGGCTCACCAAGCAAGCTGTGTAAAGAGAGGTGGCTCCTGTGGCCGCTAAAGAAAACAACTGAACCAGACAGGCAATTGCTGAGAGCTCAACCTGGAGTTTGTGCCAGAGTGAGTACACAAGCATTACTGAGAAGCTTCTTTCTTCTGTCAGACATCAGAATTGTTTTCTTTTCTGACCACAGGCAGGGGTGCTTGGAGTATGCCAGAAGCTGTGAGTTGGACTACATTGGATAGCTATGGCAGCGTGTGCTCCGTGAGAGCGAAGCCGCACGCGGGGGAGGCAGGGTAAATGTCACTGCATTTGCTGAAGCTGAAGTCAGGGCTGCTTTCCAGCCAGCAAGCTCACATTTTACCTCTGCAGTGTGCTGCCATTGCAGCACTGGCTGGTTTTCACCATTACCTAATAACTTTCTGCATTGCAGGTCTGCACCCATGCAACTTTGTTGCTTTTATACCTTCCTCTCGTAAGAGAAAATTTCACAACTTACTTGCTGTGAGGCACACAATTCTAGAAAATAGCCTTCTTTTGCAGCTGGAACCAGCAGGTGTTTTTCTTATGCATAAGGAAGGAGTTTGCAGATTCCATAAAGACCCTTATCCTCCAGGCAGTGCAGTGGAGGGAAAGGTGGTATCTCTTGATAACAGGCATTGTCAGAAAGAGCTTGGCCAGAGGTGTCCTTCCTGTTTCTCATGATAGAAAGATTTGTGTTGTGTGTGAAATGATTGTGAAATCCAAACCCAGATGATGAGAGGAAACCCTGATTTTTAGCAGTTCAGGGGAACATTAAGAAGCATTTTATTAACTTACATGTTCTATGTCTTATCATCTATGAAAAGCTGGATGAAAGGAAAAGGAGTGTCACACCTCAATACATTGTGCTGCTGTAGTGTAGGTGTCCAGATGCTGATGTGTCCAGACAACTGTGTAACCAGGTGTGGAACTTTTGGCCTGTAAAACTGTCATCATGAAGAGGAAACATATGGAAGACTGCCCTTTAAAATTCTGAGGGAGCACTGGTGTGTTTCTGAGCTTATGCCATAAAATAAAAGTATCCACTAAGAAGCACAGTTTGTAGCTTACTTTTCCTAGTATTTAATACTGCAGAATCTGGAAATGCTTCATACTTCCAAATTCAAGCTTCTGCTTCAGTTATTGTTGTGGATTTGAAGGTCTGACTTTGGGAATACAAGTCTGGAGGTGTGTGGAGATACTAAAACAATGGAAATATATCCTGTGGGAAGCCAAAAGTAACTATGGTCAGGGCAGACATTTGATCTTACTGGTGTAGTTTTGAACTAAAGCTATGTAATCTTCAAAACCTAGCTGAAAATGTAAGTAGTTATGTAACTGAATACTGAAATTTCTTGTAATTATACTGTTTATTTCCTTGGTAGTTGTATTTTAATACTCCTAACATACAATAATGAAATAATAGAATTTTAAAAAGAAAAAAGTGAGATATTAAAAGTGCCCATTACTGGTACTTCTTTTCATAGGTTTCCTGCCCTGATAAAATATTGAACAGTTTGTGAGTACAGCTTTTTAGCTTTTGAATGTTGCTGTGAATTTGTGAGATGAGTGCAGCTGCTACCCAAGCTGCTACTTACTGGAGGGTTAATTAAGAGAAACTGGGCCAGGTCACCTGGACCCTGAATGTTCAACTAACTCACAATATAAACTTGTTAACCTGAAGTTACTGTATCTGAATACCTTGAAAAAAAAACCAAAAAACAACAAAAACTAGTCCTTTCAACATCTCAGCACATTCATTAGGTTGTTACTCAGCCTAAACACCATTTTTATGAAATATACTATTACATACTTACTGATGTGTTTATTAATATGTCACATAGAACTCTGATGAATCATTGCAACTACTTCTATTAGACAAAATAATTTAACGAGGCACATCTGTTAAAGCTGGTTTTGATTTTTTTTATAATTCTGCCTATTTGCTTTCTTAGAAAATCACTTTAGTAAATCTGCAGAATCTTTTCCTTTAATTAATTCAAAATAGATGTGGAAGGAAATTATCTTTCAATACTTCAAAACTATTTTTTTAATAGCCTTCAGTTTAACAAAGGGAAGCTACTTTATGTACTTCAGAAGGGTACACTGAGTGTTTTTCCATGACTTTCACACAAATACTTTGTGCATTGGTGTAATGGAAGCATGTGGCATACTCAACCTTTGGGTCAGTTTTTACCTTGGAGCACCTGGAAATTAGTAATTATCTGTCACTTAAAAAGAGGGGGAAAGGATGTGTCTGTCTCATGGTGATATGTGCAATTTCCTCAACTTTTTACATTTTCTTTGGAGGGAAAATCTCTGAAGTGTGAATCTGGCGTAAGAATACCAGCTGTGACTGAGACAGATAAGAGTTGAATATTACGTTATTTCATATTTGTATGGAGTGTGCACAGTCATAGCATAAACATGTTAGAGGTGCTTGTAAAATAGTCTTACTACTGCAGATCTGAATCTGTAACCTGAAATAATAATGCAATAACTGCTTTCTATCCCAGTGAACAATTTTGGTTTAAAAAGTCTTATTTAAAATTAAGCTACCATTAGAAATATCTTCATTCTTTGTGTACTTGGTGCTGTATTACAACTTGCCAAAAGTGGTTTAAGGAAAAGTCATTTTGACCATTCAGATAGTACAAAAGAGGAAGAACAGTAGGCTTTTGTTTTGTCAATTTTAGGTAAACAGGAATAATTGAATCACAGGGTGATTCCTCTCTACCTGATGGGTTTTTTCTTGTTTTTTTTCTTCATAATAGTTGACATTTATTTATTTCTTCTACTGGTTTTCTTAAACAACTTGGTGTCTTTCTCAATTGTGCTGCGCCTTATACAATTAGTTTGAGTGGTGAAAAGAGTGATGTGTGTCAGTGGCTTTCCAGGCTCTTAACATTTCATAAAACAGTGTTTTATGGATGGTAGTTTCTGTATATAGATCCAGTGCCTTGGAGTTTGGGTTCCAGAGATGAGTGGTTTTCAATATTGCAAGGTTTTATTTTCTTCTCACTAAAAAGAATTTTGCCTAGCTGGTTTTGGGATGCCTGACAGTTCATAAGCTCCTCATGTGCTTTCTATTGCACAGGGCCATATTAATTTTGGGAATAAAGATTCCAGGGTGGAGACAATAAATTCTAGTATTTACCTATTAAGCAAAATGTATCCAGTCTCCTTAAGGTATTCAAAATTTCACTAAAGGCCAGATTTTTCTTAAGTTAACTTTTTCTGCTCTGATCTCTTACTTGGCTGTGGTTTTTAGTACTATTACAAGAAAATATAGATAAGGAGGTTTTTTGTTTCATTTGGAAATAAAAGCTAAACCGAAATAAGCAAAATTCTCTCAGAGAAACTCTGACCATTAAAAAACTTAATCCCTCTTATCAGTTTTTTACATTTGTACTTTATTTTTCATTTTGTGTACTCTGTCCTGTGGATCTGGTGTGATAGTTGGCTACTTTAATTACTGTCTCTTAAGAAAGGTGAGTGTTTGTAGAGTCTAAAGTGTCATTTTCCTTTGGAGATGGCTGTCATGGGAAGAGGATGAAAGTAGGGTGCTTCCAAATTAGCAGTCTAGGTGTGCACCCTTAAAAGTCTGCAGTTACTGTGACAGAGTGCCAGGTGTAAAGGTACAAAATTCAGAGGATCTGAGGATCTTTTCCAAAAGCTCATCACTACTCAAACACAGACTAAGCAGGTATGGAATCAGTGGAGTGCTCAAGGTAGATAAAGTATAACAGCAGTTGCTGCTGTTTCTCTTCTTCTGGGTTTTTTCCTCAGATAGTCTCAATAGCCCATGTCTCCGGGTTAGCAGTATTTTTCTAATTAAATAGAATTTCAAAGACAAATGCCACTCTCTTAATGCCAAAATTTGTCACAGACAGGATTTCTTACAATAGACAGACAGATCAAAGAAAAGAAAGGTTAGCTGCTGCAGAATTCTTTTGATTCTGTAAACAGAGCAGAGTGCCTCAACTCCCACTGGCTTTGCAAATGTTAAGGCCATTCAGCAGCTATAAAATGTACTAAAAGTCTCAGACCTAAGCCTGGGAACCACTCAGTGTTACAGTATATTACAGATTTCTTACCAGTGTGGCTTAAAAATGCTGGGTTTGGACTTTGATCCATTGTCATCCTTGTGAAGTGCCAATCCCACAGGTATTCAACTGTTTCACTGGTCCAGTTTACTAACTTCACACAGCCAACCTAAAATCATCTTGAGCACTTCAAACGATGTTCCCAGTCCCTCCTTTTCAATCTTTTTTAAAGTATGATGATACATTAAGGTCCAGTTTTTCAAGCATGTTCTATTAACTTCTTTTTTTAATGTTCTTTGAGAAGACATGTCAGTTTTCTGACTAATAGTGTAGGATCAATGTGCTGTGTTCCATTGTGCTGGTATTCTCCAAAATCTGTGTACTCCAGATGTAGAATTCCTCAACAGGAATGTGACTCAAGCTTGCTTCTTGAGCTCAGAACAAAAAAAACAGTCCAGAGAAATAAAGAATATTTTTCTAGGGAAGCTGTAATGTCTACAGTAATTTAAAATAGTCTTCAGAAGACCTTTTATAGAGTTGAGGATCCACAGATTCCCAGAGAAATTGTGGAGGACTCAGAATTCTGGGACGTGTGAGCTTAATTGTATTTGTTCTTTCCTAGACATTTGATCTCTTCCCACGCATCTGTTGTGCCTTACCCATGATAACTTTGTTTTGTGTTTAGTGCTCTGCTGAAGAGTGAGCTGAGACCTTCCTGTGATGTATCCCCTAAGTTTAGATCTCTTTACTACTAAGAAATTGCTCTAAACAATTGCAGTTGTTTTTAATGACTGTAAGTTTCTTTCCATACTAGGTGATGCAGATGTACCTCCCCTTCTGTGGGATTGCCATATCCAATGCCCAGCTATTTGCAGCTTCAAGGAAGGAATATGACAGAAGCAGGGTAAGTGCAAAATGTATAGCAGACCAACATCAAACTTTAGTATTTTTTTCCTGCAGGTTCCAGCTATGCACAGGTGTTTGCTAAGCAGACAGTTTTATTTCCAAAACTGTATTTTCAAAAGATCACTGTCTTGATTGAGGCAGCAAGCAGAGAATGTAGGAGGGATATACACTTCTAGTGGTGGCTGTGGTTTCCTGATGTCAGTTCCACATTTTGTGGTGCTGAAACAATTGCATTTGTGGCACAGATGGTGCAGGAGAAAGTGTTGCTTAGGCAGAGATTCAAGCTCTCATAAAATTCTACTAATCTCAAGCCTTTACCATTCTGAACTTTTAATATTTAGTCTATGTGCAAATAATGTGGAAATATCTTTATAAAATTAAGCAGGGAAAAAAAACCCTATATGTGAAGGGTTTTGACAGCATGTCTCCATAGAACACATACTCATGATCGCTGGTGCTGTGCATGCACTGGGACAGGAGGCTCTGAAGGGAAAATAATGCTCAGCTCCCCCATCATTCCCTTGTCAGAGAGGTCTTTTATTTTTTGAAGAAACAAAATGGTAATTTTGAGGAATTTTTAATAATAGTTGGCTTCTTTCTATTGTCCTTTCTGCAATGACAGGGAATTATATTTTTGTTAGCTTGGATCACAGGTCCAAAACTTCAGCAGAAATATCTCTGGTAGTGTTGAACCTGTTCTTCCTTCATAAAATATTAAAAATTCATATCAGTTTTGTTGCCATTGTCATTAAGAACTTTCTTTGAATGTATCATATAAATGGATCATATAATGGATCATATTTCTTTATATGGATCATACAAAAATGTCATATAAAATCCATCCCAGATGTGATGCCTCCTTTGCAATGCTCCATGTATTTATTAATTCTACAACCAATACAAGAGTTTTCTGTCGTTGTATACAGGCGTTACTGGAAGTAGTGAATGACCTCTTTGAGGAACAGACTGACTTAGAGAAAATTGTCAAGAAAATCATGCATCGGGCCCAGACTCTACTGAAGTGTGAACGGTGCTCAGTATTACTTCTGGAAGATATTGAATCACCAGTAAGTAGAGCTGCATGTCATATGGAAGTACAGAACAGCAGGTGTTTTTCAGTGTGTTGTTCCTAAATGTAAGTTAGGTACGTACTGAAACTTTATCAACACTCCTGTTGTGTCTCTATCCCAGCAGGCTTATATTGTGATAGCAGTAAGCTTTTACATTGAGCAGATGAAATGGAAATCCATCTTTCAGAATTATTGAAGTATTTCTGGTTTTTTTCAATTACTCTGTCTACTTGACCCATGAATAATTATTTCATTGCAGAGCTCTGTTGAACAGATGGATGTAAACTGTACAAAAGTATTTGACAGTTTTGACAGGGGCTTTCACTGGGACTTTGCAGTAACTAATATTCATAGTGTATGAGAACCTCTTAAAAATGTTTGAAGTTTTTATGAGTATTGTTGTTAGTAATAAATTAAGTGGCTGCCTTTATATTGGTAGCTTCCTCCAGTGTTTTCAGGCTATTCAGTATAAGCTACCCTCCTTTCTACTGATTTGAGAAGTAGTTGAAGGATAAAACATTGTTTGTAATATTTTTTTCCTAGCCAATTATTATTTTTGTATTCACTGATTCTGCTGTTAATTATTTGTTGCTGGGCTGTGACAAGTCAGAGACAGAATCATGAATTTGTTTGTATGGCAGAAAAAAATCCCCATTCTTTTCCTTGGAGGAAAGATATGATTCACATTTCATTTCAGTTAATAAAAATTAAGAACTTTCAATGGAGTATGCCCTAAATTATACCAGCTTTCCTAAAAGCAAGATCAAAGTTTTTATTTCACTTATGTTTTCTACTATAGAATTTTAATGTTTCTAGTTAATTTTCTCTTTCTAGATTCCCCTAGCCACCCCCCTCCCCAATTTTATAATTGCAATAATAGTCCTAGTACATTCTTATGAAATGTCACTGTGTTTATAATATGATTTCTATTTTTCACAGAAATGTCCATTGTGTTAGGAAGTTGTGGGTGGCAGTTTATTTTTCTGATCTTGGTACTATTTCTGCTTTGAGCTTGGAGGGGCTTTTCCCAAACCACAAGTTCTTATTCCTCCAGACAAAATTGTGAAATATGGAGAAAAAGCTTAAACTTTTTCTAGATGGTCATAAATCTTAGGTTAATTTGGAGTAGGAGAATAGCATCTTACCACCCACTTGGTAATTTTTACAAGTGGCAAAACAGTTATTTTCCTGACTTTCTCCTGTTTTGGAGGTTTAACATATATATCAAAATAGCTCTCCTTAGAGTAACTCAGTGTCTAGCCATGTCTAAAGTACTGTAATTTGTACATTGTGCAGAAAGCTTTTATGAACCAGAACCAAAGTGAAGATGGGAACACATCCAAAAACAAGGCCTCTGTTCTCTGTCACTTCTTGCCACTCCTAAGATGTTTCACTTATGTGCTCCTGACACATATGTTCAAGTGTGATTGGTTGCAGTTAGTAATGCAAAGCTGCCTTTCTGTTTATTTTCCTATATTAAAAAAGTGAAGTTGGAGTAAAGGTCCATAACACATGTCCGAAAAGCCTTTAAAGGTAAGTGTATATGCTTGTGGAAAAGAGTTTTCTGAGGGAATCTAAAGATATAATTTGATTTAATATTTATTTTTAGGGAACTATGCACAGTGTGTATTTTAAAGATTAATTCTCCATTGAGAGAATACAGATTTGTACTCTTATCCTAAGACTATTGGATAAAAATACAGTTTAAGTAGAGGAACCTTACATTACTGTTTTCTTCAATGTTTATTCATCTTAATAGTGATCCTAAGTTACTTGTTTTGTAACAGGTGGTGAAATTCACAAAATCTTTCGAATTGTTATCTCCAAAATGCAGTGCTGATACTGACAACAGGTTAGTGCTCATATCTTCTGTGGTTATGGATAACTTCATTTTTCACATAGTTTTAAGCTTTACTTGGTCAAGATTTTATTTTCTTATGGAACTTTGTGTAGATTTGATTGAAGAGTGTGAGCCTATGTTTTTTACTCACACAAGACACCCACTTGCTTCAAATGGAGGCTTGCATGAATAAATACATGTGCCTATATTTTTTTGTATATGTATGTTTGTGTATATGTGCACTAATGTTGTATCAGGGTCTCAGGTAAGAAACCAGGGAAAATGGACTTTTTATGGTTGAACTCATTGATAACATGCAGCTGTTGTTCTGTATGATTAATATTGAAGTAAAAATTACAAAATTATTTTAGATTGTTGATCTCTTACAAAATTCCTCTGTACAGTTGTGTTGGGAGGTTTCCAGTAAAATTTTACTTCTGCTGTTGTCAAATTGGAAAGCCTAGAAACTGCAGAGCATATGTATTTCCTGGAAACTGTGTTCCTGTGACTAAATCTTGTTTGGGAGCCCACTCAAAATGGAAGTATATGTTTTGCTTAGTAGGATCTGTAAACATTTATAAAGGGCCAATTTTAAGTAGTAAAAGAAAGATTTTTGTTCAAGTTATATCAATCCCTGCAAGGTTACACCCTGGTAGCAGTTCACATAAAATGTCCTGTGTACCAAATGAGGGGATGAGGATTCAGGGCTATTGTGAGAACATTTCTTCCATCTTTCAGTGTTTATCACACAGGTTTTATGCAGATTAATTCATACTGATTCTGAAGGAGAATTTTCCATATCAAATGGCTGTCATGGTGATAAACCTTTTCATGGATTGATTTCGCAGCATTAGAAAAATGCGTAGTGTTAGAATATTTCTAAGATGTGCAAGCTCACATCAGAGTCCAGGGCCACACAGAAACATGGGTAGAAGTTATCTCCTTTCCATGTTCTGGTATGGGAATGGTGAAGCAAATGGAAAACAAGCAATAAAAAATAGGAAGATCTAAATGTTAATAAATAATCTGTTGATTCATCTGGGAATCACAAGTTGCTTTTGACAAAGAGTTTAAGAGTAGCAGTTGGTCTTTCCTAGGGGGTGAAAATACATTTCTTTTATTCAGGGACAGGAGTATGAATCAAGGAATGTGGTTGTTATTCCTGTTTTTCTCAAACTTGATCTGTAGCCAGATTAGTCAAAACAATGTAGAGTGGTATCAAGATAACCAAGCTGGCTCATTTCTTGTTACCATAGTTATATTAGCATGTTGCCATAAAGCAGTTTGTAGTAGCCTGCTCTGCTTGTAGTCAAGTCAAGATTATTTTAACTTTAGTCCAAGACATGAACAAACACATAACCTGGTAGCTAGTCTTTATGAGATTCATGAAGGTATATTTCTGTGCATTTTAACATAAAGATGTATCACTTTTTCAGTGATTATTTTTTTCCTATGGAGAGTGAAGTTGCTTTAAAAAGACCAAGGTTACACTGGCAGATATGATGTCACATTTGGATCTAGCACAGGCACAGCTTGAGTTATTGGCACTATTGTGAAAAAATAAAGGTTATTTAGGATACAGAACAATGCCGCGAGCCCTTGACATTTGAGCATTTTTCTAGCGAGTTTTGCCCTTTTCATTCTACATTCTGCAGCTGTAACTGATGTAAAGTCATGAGACTTTTCATGTGGGGAAAAAAATGGCAAGACGAGTTTCTTCATCATTACAGCAGTTAAGAAAAACGTTATTTCTTTGAAATTTTAGTTGAAATCCAAAGACATTTTAGGCTAAGAACAGTTCTCATTATGTTTTATCTCATTGATAAAGAGTGTCCTAAGACAGTATTTCATGCCCTAATGTACTTTCTCACACAGTTTTAGAAGCTGGCTTTTCTTTTGCCCTCCATAAATCTGCATGATAGCAGGTCACCTGTTAAATACCTAAAGATCATAATAAATACTCATACTTATTTTCTTTGCTGTTGTTTGCAAAGAAATGTCTTGCAAGGCCACACTTGCCTTTATCTGTTCAGTTTCCAAGTTTTCATCACACACCATGATCAAGTTTGTTTATTATCCATACTGGCACACTGATGCTCTTGTTTTTCCCAGCAATTTTCTTCTTGAAGTACAAGTTTGCCAAGTCCCCTAAATTTTCTCTCCCTTTGAAAAAATATTACATAAATGTTAGAATCCATGGGGCCTCAGTTCTGGTATGATCCAGATACAGATGAGCCTGATGGAATGTGCTGTGGAGTGTGCCTTTCCTGCACAGAAGCAGCAGTTTTGGCAGATGAGATTCCATTTTAGCAGATAGCTGAGATGACAGTTCTCTAAGCTGGGTACCAGTGGTAGTGGACAGGTCTCCTGCCTGGGCCAGAATATGAGTTGTGCGGGCAAAAATATCTGTGCTCCTTCCCACTTGGACTGGTACAGAGGAAGTGCTGAAATCCCTGGGATGATGTGCCTGTCTTCTGGAGTATGGCTGTAGAGAGCTTGTTAGGAATGGAGAGAACGTAATAGAACCCACTTTTAAAACTTACTTATGAATATTATCTTGTTTCTTTTACTTTTAAAACTTATTTATGAATGTTATCTTGTTTCCTTTACGTGAATGAATTTGCTGCTTAAAATGCTTGACACCCATAATGCAGTCCTGGTGTATGTGTCTTATATGAGAACAACTTTCAGATAAGTTATGAACTGGGAATGAAGCATTTGAAATTAGATGCTTATCCTTAAAGATTTTTTTACTTCTGAAGTATTTGAAATAAATTAAATTATGAATTAAATTTTAAATTATAAATGTGATTTTTTTACTTGGCTCAAAAGGTCTCTGTCAAAGTATACACATAACATTTATTACAGTCACTCAAAATTCTTGTCCCAAATGAAAGTGGATTCCTTTAGATTTCTGTGATTATTTTTTTTATTTATAGTCTTTTAAGAATCTTAAGGTTTTTTTAGATTAATGATATAATTGATTTCGTCTCCAAAAAATCAATGCAGCCAACAAAAATCAATCCTTTCAGTTTGATTGAATCTTTCAAGGATTTCACTGTTCAGCCTACTTTCACTCATGAGGAATGCTTCAAAGCCTCGAACTATTGTAGTTTTCTCCATAGCTTCTTAGTAACTTTTTCTAAGTAATGTTTCTCAGGTGTTAAAAATTTACCAGTTTTCTTCCAAAACTAAGACAACAGGCTTTTGGTTTTTTTTTTATTCACACATGAGTAGCCAGACATTGCCAATGTCAAGAACCTGCCTGAAACAAGACAAAGAGAACTTTCCTGCTGATTAGGTGAGGACTTTAAGTACTGCTAGACACTGAGTTTTCTGGAGAAGCTGAGGTGGAGTGTGGTGACTTGAGGTCATAATTTTAGTGTCTCATGCTCATTTATTGATAGCTCTCTAGCCCCTCAGTAATTGTGGCAGAAGCTCAACCAGGTAAAGAGAAAAGGAAACCTTCATGTCTTGTGTGACTACTTGGATCCACCTGCTGTAATATACTTGCAGTATTGATTTAAGACTTACTTAATGATCCCTTCTTCAGCCATTCAGATATGGTATTTCAGATGCCAAAATTTTTTTAAAAAGTCATTGTGACAGGAAAATTATTGAAAATAAAAATTGAAAATATCACAAATTATTAGATTAATTTAAAAAATCTTAGAAGTATATATTTTAAGATAACTCTACCGGAAATATTTTTTAGAACTGGTTGCTTTTCATGAGCAGTCCTGTATCTACAGAAACTTAGAACATAATCCACTGTTGACTCATAGCTAAAAATTATCAAATATTTTATTTACTTGAGACACCAATGCTGTTTTCAATAGAAAGAGTTATGTAAAGGAGAGAATTTTTGAGGTACCATTTTAATGATACCAAATTATTGTTCTATAGTTAATTTTTGGTAACAATTAATAATTGTGAATGGTTCTGCTGTTCCTATTAATGTGCATTTAAGACATGCTGGACTTGCAATTAATGTGGACTATATCCTTTTCTTCCCTTGCCCTGCATTTTGATAGTTTCAAAGACAACATGGAAAAATCGTCTTATTCTGACTGGCTAATAAACAACAGCATTGCTGAACTCGTCGCTTCCACAGGTCTCCCAGTGAACATCAGTGATGCCTATCAGGATCCTCGCTTTGATGCTGAGGTGAGAGATTTTTACAAATGTAATTACATACTACTTTTGAGCATCACAACTAATATAAAAATTTTGGTTCTATATCCAAGTGGCTGTGAGACATTTGAGTATTTATTTTGAATTATTTTTCTTTTCAGCAAGTTGTCTTTCTGGTCTTCTACAGTTTTATACTGCAAACACAGATCACTGAATTAGTGTATGACTTTAAGCAGTTACTTTGTCCAAGAATCTTTTTTTTTTTTTCTATTTATCAGTGATTCCCCTACCAATTGCCTTGATATTTACGCAAACTGATTTTTATTGCTGAAAATTTGTTGATGTTCAGTGTTAGCAGCACCAGTGCTGTTAGCTGTTGGGGTGACTGGGGCTGTGCATAGACAGAGTGTGAGCAGGGCTGGTAACCAGACAGACAAATGTTGTTTGTGCTCTAACTTAGCCAACCAACAGTTTAATTTGCTCAAATACACACTGTTTTGGGTACTTCTTCAAGATGCATTCACTCCCAATAAAAATTGTTTGTGTATCTTAAGGTATTCATTTCCTATTAGAAAGGTGTAGCTACAGATAAAAATGTAAGTATACTTAAAATCTAAATAAATGTTAGAGGTGTATGGAAGGACAAAATCTTCACTGAATTCTAATCCAGCATTCCTGTGGAGGACTTGGCCAGCAGTTGGACAGCACATTAATCACAGCCTTGGTCAGAAGGCTTCCTAAAATATATTACTACAGTAAGTGTTCTTGGAAGTGGTTCATGTTGAGAGTTTGCTTCATTCCAATTTGATTCCACATGTCATTAAAGGGATTATCTCTCAAACCAGCAGAATTTTTTGAAAAAAGAAAAAATAAAAGGGGCCTGCTGTAGAAGTATAAAAGAAAACTGCATTGATGTTAATCTGTTCAGAATTGCAAGAAGTACAATTAATGCCTGGGGTGTTTAGATATGCTAACTTAAAGCATGCCAGTCCTTGATGTTTGCAATTGTACTTGTATTATATCATCTCCTGAATAATTCAGCTATCTCTTATTTGTTTCACAGTTAGTTCTTTCCAAGTTGGAGGCACTACCCAGTATATATGAAGAAAATTATACAAAGGGCAAAAATCATTTTCTTTTGATGGGTTCCTATGAAAATTTAATTCTTAAATTCAGATTTCTACTCAATTATTTCCACAGTCAAGAGTAATAAGAGGAACATAGTATCCCTTATTACTTAGATAGAATCAAACATACATTTGTAGTTATGAACAGAAATTCTGTTCTCTGCTTCTGTTGATAATCATCTCTTTTTTTTTTTCTCAGAACACTACTTCTCATCTGCAAATGTTTATGCTTAATTTTCAACTCATTCATCAAGAATTTAATGCAAAAGTATTTTGCAGTTCATTTTAAGACATAAGTTTGAATCAATTATTGCCCCACTCCCCTGGATTTTAGGTGGCACTCCACACTGGTTTCAGTGATGAGTTCTGAGTATGTATAAAAAGACAGTAAGCTAATTAAAACCTGAATTATGTCTTTTGCTAGCTAGGAGATCACAGTGATCCCATCCTGCTTCCCATATATGAATTATTGCTGGTCTTTTAGTTTTCTTCTATTAAAATTGCCTGTAGCAGTGGCAGTTTTAGTAAGAGAACATCTCCTGATCTTCTGTGAGTGGACTCATTCCACTCTCTGATCTCTTTTGAAAAACTGTTCTTGTTCATTAGATTTTGCAGCAGTGACACTAAAGAATAAAGGTTGTTAATTGTAGAAAAGAATCAGTGAAATTTAAAATAAATTGTGAAGTTGTATACTGTGTTAGCTAGAAAACGATAAATGAGGCAGTAAATTGTCATTGGAACAAAAGGACCAATTATCTCAAATCTAGGGTTCAGCTCCATCCTTACATTTCTTACTAACCTGCACTTCTGCACAATTCCCTACTTACTCTCACCTATCTTCTGAAAACGTGTATTTCCTGTAAGCCTCCTTCTAGAGCTGCCTAGCTGAGTCCAATTTCAGTTTGACAATTGGGAAGGGTTCTTCTAAGGCAAACTTGTTCAGTGCAAGTTATCTCTACTAATCCACCAGTAAAAGTAATCCAAAATTTGCCTGGACATTGCCTCAATTATAGTTTGTTTAGTGCCAAATCAGAGTCAAAACAGTGTAAGCTTAATGTGGCAAAGATGCCAATGTTTGTATATTCTTTGGCAATTTTTAGAGTAATCCTGATGACTTTTGGTTACTGTGGATGGAGTTTCAGCAGATTTTTTTTTCTGAGAGCTGATTCATATGAAATGACATTTATAATGTAACTTACTCCTTGACTTTTCTATTACTATGATTTAAAAAAATGAAAACAGCACCACTAATGGAAGCTCTCATTTCTACATTTTAGGCTGACCAAATTTCTGGCTTTCACATAAGATCTGTTCTGTGTGTTCCTATATGGAACAGCACCCACCAAATAATTGGTAAGACTTCCCTCATGTCTGCGTAATTTTTGTGCTACTGTAAATTTAGTTCTATCTTTTTAATTCTGTGTTCCTTTTTCTTTTTCCCAGCTCAATATTGTTAAGAAGTTACAGTACCTAGGATGCATGCTAAGTATCCAAGGGATACTTTTGACTTGGATACTGGATGGACTTTTTCAGCTTTCCAGCTGTGTTGTTATTAAGTTATATGTTGTACTGAACTTTAATGAGATGAAAACAGTAATTCTAACCATATTAGTGAAAAATATTTTATATGCATTGGTGATTTCCTTGGGTCTCCTTCTTTAGTACATGGGCAACTGTGTGCAGTCAAGCTAAGTGTTCATTTCCCGCTAATGATAAATTCTGGGTGCAGTCAGGGAAGATTTGTTGCAGGGGCTGTGGCAGTGGTCAGAGTTGTCTGTTGCAGTGGTGGTTGCTGGATCAGGATGTGACAGAGTTTCAGAGGATCTTTGATAGGATTCTTTGCAGCTAGGCTACACCAGCAGTTGGCCCTGTGTTATTACCTGCTTTTGGCACAAAAAGGAGTGCTTGTAAATGACAGTGCCAGATTCCTCTGCTAACGTTCCTCAGAAGAACTGACGTCAAAGCAATAGCAATTTATACTGGCAGGGCAAGAGTTAGATCCCTGTGCATTGTGGCTGCCAGGGAGAGCTGAGATCAGAAGCACATTGCTGAAGGCACTTGGTGTCATGCAGGGTCTTGGAGCTTCTTTAGCAGAGGTGATGTGGGAGTTGAGTCTTTTAAAAATACGTCTTGTTGTTTGTTGTGAACTGTGCCTTATCTTCAAGAATGAGAAATAATTTGAACTCTTGACAGCGGATTACTCTTACAGTATTTTTCTAAGCATAGCATAGCATATTGTAGCTAAATGAAATAGAAATGTTTGTTGTAGTAGAAATCACCACTGGTTTGGAAAATGCATTTTTTCATTGGCTCAGTAAATTAATGAATCAGACATGAGTAAAAAAGGGCTTATATACCCAGGTGATGGTAAACTAAGATTTTAGGAATGAAGGTACTGATTCAGTAAATTGTATTGGAAACTCCAAATTTTTAGGACAATTTATGTGATTGCTGTTAGCAAAGTAATCAAGATCTTTCTCAAATAGATCTTTAACCTTTTATGAAAAACACTGTGAATAACTTCTAGATTTATACTATTTATACTACACAGTATTATACTTAGAGAGTAAAGAATATCAGCTGAAAGTACTAGTATCAAAACAATCAAATTATTGCACATCTGTGTCTAATTATTTTCAGAATAAATATTTGCATTTTGCTTTTCAGTTTGAAATATGTGGTTTACATTTTACCAATGAATAAAACATTCTGCATTGTGCATTAATGAATTAATATAACTCATATTAACTCTTTCTAAAGGGGTAGCTCAAGTGTTGAACAGGCTTGATGGGAAATCCTTTGACGATGCTGACCAGCGACTGTTTGAAGTAAGAGGCATTCAGTTCAGCATTAAGATACTTTTCCAGTAGCATGTGGTATTTTTCCGTAATCTGCTTCAGTCCACTCCAGGGATGGGGGGAGAATATCTTGTCTATATTTGTGGTTTGACATTAATTCTCAGAAATCCTCACTTAGATGGTGGCATCCTAATTAAAACAAGTTTCTGGCATCTAATCTCTCATCTGGAGGCCAGTGACTCACCTGCATTCTTAAAATAACCCGTTTAAACATGATTATTCCTAAAATTTCCATGTAATTTCTTCTAATGATTAAGCCAGTGTTCATCTTTGTGCTTGTATTATAACTGATTCATAATTGACTCTCCTTTTTCTCTTTTTAAATTTTAGGCTTTTGTTATTTTTTGTGGCCTGGGTATCAACAACACAATTATGTATGACCAAGTGAAGAAATCCTGGGCAAAGCAGTCTGTGGCTCTTGACGTATGTGTACATCTTTGTGAAACCTTTTCTTGCTCCTAACCATCACATGTAAAGAAGCCCACTATATTTTTTAAAACTATGATTATTTAAACTTCTCTAACCAAATTCAACAGTGAAGCACTGTGGTCTATTATATATCGGGAGATTTTAAACATTATCGTATTAAAAATAATATTGGTGAGAAAAATGGCAGGAGTTTTGAGGATAGCTTTACAAATTTACATTATTCCTACTACAACAATAATTAAGAGCAGTTTAAATGAAATTTCAGATCTTTCAAAAAAAGCATTCTGCAAGACTGAATAATCTTAAAACATTGCTCTAAGGAAAGGTAACATCACTAAGATATTGGTATTGTTTTAAATTTCACATATGATAAGAGAAGAAAATAATCTAATTATCCCTGATGTGAGCACCTTTTATCTGTGTAATTCCTTTGAATTTCTCCAGTACTCACCATTACAATAAGAACCACCAAATAACATTGGCCTGAATGAGATATGAAATTCTTTCTATTCAAAGAAAAATCAAACCCAACTAAAGTACTATAAAGAGGCTTTCTTTTTCTTTGCTTTAGGGTTTGAGATATTAATCTGCATAGTGGTGTTGCATCCTGTGCTGCACACAGACCTATTAAGGCTTTCCAAAGTCAGTAAGACTGTTGGTGTTAGAAATTTTAAGCATAAGCGGCTTTCTGTACTATTGGTGTATATCTACCCATGCAGAAGGAAAAGTTAAAAGCTTACCTTTTCAGGCCTCCTGCAAGATTCCTTGTACTTTACATGTCATAGTCATGAATAAGTCTCCATATGTCCCAGGTATTTGTGCGATTATGACACCTAAGAATGAGTGTTCCTCCTGGCAAGAAAAGCAAGCAGTGCTAGATGTCACACACAGATATATAGGGATGAAACTTCACATAGAAGTTTATTTGCTACTGAAATAAAAGAAAATTAATTATTTTTGGTTTAAAATACAGCTTCTTTATTTGATAAAAAAAAAGACTAATAACCATCTAGATTACACCTAGAGTATAGATCTGATAAATTGCCATTAATCTTCAATTAAGAGTAATTCTTTCTATAAATGGGAAACAACTCTTGATAATATTTGCATAAAGTGATGTAAGATGCAGGAGAAAAGTACTGAACACTAGAATGGTATGAGATGGAGGACTGTGGATTTTGACTAATAGAATACTTCATTAGTATTTATGTATTTAGCTATAATGGCAGTGAATGGCCCTTGAAAATTACTTGAAAATATCAGATGTAAAAGACATGAACTTGTTATATATCATAATAAGATTCTTATCCATATATACTGATACAGGTTTTCATACAGTATTCTGATAAGATTGACTAATAAATAGAAAAGCAAAACAAAAATAAATTATCAGGAAAGTTTGCAATGATTCAAAGCCAGGCTAAACACTTTTTTTTATACTAAGGACACAAAATTTTCAAATTTATTTAAAGATTAGAATAATAAATACTAAGGAAGACTGTAAAAATCTAGATGGATATAATGAATACAGATCAAGGAGAAGCTTGATGAGAATTTTGCTGTTAAGTGTAATCTGTCATAGCAGAAGATATAATTTGACTAATCTTACCAGTTTCCTGTTACTGTAAAAGGTGGCATCTCTAAAACTGATAAGAGTAAAAATGTCTTGTGACTTACTGCCACAAGGTGTTGCAAATCAACGCCCTGTGAGACAGTTTAGGTGTTTGTATGAATAACAGAGACATTCATAGATGAAAATTATCTCCAAGTGAGAAACCTGTATCAAAGCTTTAGCACATCAGCAGGTCAGGTGTTCCAGTGTGGGGAAGGACTGTCCTTGCTGGGAGTGCTCTGGCTCTGGGAGCGAGCTCCCTCATGGACCAGCAGCTCGTCCCACGCACAGCCAGACCATGGTGGGTCCAGGATACAGGATGGCTCTTGCACCTTCTGCAGTGCTCGTTCAGAGTTAGTATCAACCCACAAGGATAGAATGTACTACATATAAATGGATGCATACTAGGAGGTCATAAGAGCAGGTGTGCAGTACTTTCTACATTTTATTTGATGCTGCTCTCTGCAGAATGGTATTGAAGAGAATGTCAGACACAGCACAGGGGTGCTGATATTTGGATGCAGTGATGTGCCACTGGTGTAGGCATTAAAGCTTTTCAGTATAGCAAAAGACATTATTAAAAGTCCATAAATCTACTGTTATTTTTACATTAAATTCTTTCCCTTTTGATTGTAGAACTTCACGAGAACAAAGTAGGAATCCTTATAATATTAAATTACTTACTGTTCATTATACCCTATAAAATTCCCTGCAGTATAACTGCCAAATGTATGCCTGATAACCTCTAATTAGCTATTACATGCTGTCAATCAGAACAGAATTATCACACAAACGCTAATATAAAATCTGCTTTAAACATAACTGATTAGACTGCAGTACAGAGCCCTGATATTGCTACTTGACAAGTGTACAAAAATGGTTTTTATCTTCTGTTCTGGGGCAGGTGTTGTCTTATCATGCAACATGTTCGAAGGCAGAAGTTGATAAATTCAAGGTAAGATTTAAGTTTTTTATATACTCATTTTTGAAACTATAACTGTAAATTAATATTTGTCTAGATTATCTGAGAAGAGTTTCACATCATAAGCAGAAAATCTTAATTAAAAATTATTTACAATGCGTATATTACATGTAAGGCTGTTAAGCAGGGAAGATGGAAAGTTTCTTTCAGAGGATAGAGCTGCAGTGCACAGCAGCAAAGTCCCATTGTCCCAGCACCAGCTACTGGAACTGCATGTCAGTGTGCGTTTGGTGGCCTCCTCAGCAGAAACCATCACAGGGAAGTCATACCACATAAGAGATGAGAGGGAGACTAGAGAAAAAGAAAGAAACTTGAGACTTTACGTGCTTATAGTGTGGAAGCTGGCCTGTGTTTACTAAAAAAGGGGAGCATTCACTATCCAGTTTGTGCATAGGCTCAGAAGGAGGCACAGGAAGGTGAGGGATCTTCTAACTCCTGTAAGCGCCCTTGGCAGAATGTGAAAGTGATGTGTTCTGAGTGTAGCATGGGTAGGGACCAATAATTGCATGTTCTCACTGAATCCTGCCTTGCCATGGGCTAGCAAGTGTGGGGAACAGTGCCCTCGATCTTTCATCACTGCCAACACTCCAGTGCTGCTTTTGTGATAGACTGTTTGTCTTTTCCTACTTGAGGAGGTGCTTGGGAAGTCAGGTGATGCTTCCCTTGGCTATGAGGAGGCAATGCTGGTAGAGGGCTCCTCAAAGCTCCCATGGGAAGCTCCCATGGCAGGTATCACTGTTGGTCTCCTGGACACACAGTCCCTCAGAGACTGTAGTGAGGTCTGGGAATAAGATCTGGACTGCTGTGACTCCACATTGATGGCATTCCCTGCTCTGGAGCTCTAGCATCTGTCTAGCTGAAAAATAGCTGTTGGGTGGTTATTTTAACACTTGGCTGTCAGGCTGTAACCTGATTTCTGCACCACGGGGATGCCTGTGGTGAAAGGGGGAACACATGGCTGGCATAGAGCTGATCGGGCTGAGTGATCTGGGCTGAGGAAGGGCAGCTCTTGCTAGTTAATGAGTTTGTAAATTATTGCCCAGATGATGGCTGTGCCTGGTATCTGTATCTGTACCTGGTGGTAAGGGTGTAATATTCTCCCTCCACTGTAGTTACTGGTATGATTACCCACACTTTTGTATGCTGAAGGTGAGATTACTGAAGTATTGCTGGAATCAGCATGCTTGAAGATCATCCAACACTACAGGAAGTACTTTTGTGTGTGCAGTAAGTTGTATTTAGTGTTTGGCAAAAAGAACTGAACACTGTTGAGAAAGAGGGAAGAAAGGGGTAAAGGACCATCAATTTTCTGTTTTGCTTTTGTGTTTCCCTTTACCTTAGAATACACATCTGTAATATAGTTTCTATGACTCTCAGGATTCCACCAGTATCTTTGTATGTACAAGAGGGCTATACTTGATTTCTGTCAGCCATTGAAAGACAATTCTCCTTCATAGCTCTGTAGTTAAAATAACAGCTTGCTGTGTTACTCTTTGGACTCAGATATTCATGTGGTGAGAAGCTATTCTACTTGTTTTCCCAGGTGATTTCATTAATATACAGACCAGTCTTCAAGTAAAAAATCTTTTCCTTATCCATTTACCTTGAAGGCATGCAACTATCCATTTAATGGCTAATAATAAGGTAAAAGGAAATGAAAAGCATTTATTCATTAATAATTCCAAAAGATATTATTCCAAAACACACATGTCTTATCAAGAACATAGATGAGAAAATAAGGAACATAACCAAGCTATACCTAAAGTAAGTTAGGCTATTTTTTTCAGAAAAAGTGTCCCTTTTCTATGTCTATATCCAGTCATCTCACTTTCAATTCCTGACAAAATTACTCTCAAGTAGTTTTTGTTAATGCTTTTGCACCACTGGATGTAAACAAAACAAAAGAACAAAAGCCCAGAGACAACCAGCATGTCTTGAGGGCCTGTGACACAGAGCTCATCCCAGAGAGGGCCATCCATCTGTGGGATGAAATTGCTCCCATCTCCCTGCTTACAGCTAGCCTCCCTGCTGAGGTCTCCCAAGGCATCCTACCCTGAAACCACTGCTCTTTTCCCTGTTTGTTATATCGTTATATTCTGTAAAAACCCTTTGTTATATTAGGATCATCTTCTAGACTTGACTGGCTAATAAACCATCCCTCCCTCTGGGGGTGTTTGGGGCTAAATGTGTCCCCTCTGTCTGTGGTGATTTATTGGCAGGTGTCAGAGCAAATGTCTGTTACGATTTACTCGATGTCCTGGTTCAGTCAGAGCAGAGACACACACACGACAGAAACATCGAAATGAGAGTGATGCCAGGAGATCACCAATGGCTCCTGACTGACACAACACCCAGCAGTAATTAATGACTTTGGAGTCACAATACATTGGAGTTGACAATTTCTCAGCATATTATCCCAAACGTACTGTAACTGGACCCCAGAATCTTGGAAATAATTACATACTCTTGTAGTACAATATTTTCTTTCCCTCTTCGTAATTTTTTTTATAGTTTTCATAAAATGTTTTTCCATTAATTTTTATTTGCTCAGGATCTTGAGAATATTCTGATAAAAAGTGAAAAATTGCAAGTGTTCCTAAAGTTTATTTTCCCTCTGGCTTTTGCCAGTGGATTATTTTATTGCATTACAGAAAGCCCAGCAAGAGTAGCTAAAGTTGGTTTTTTTACTTGAAATTTCATCAGTAATTTCTTACTGTTAGTGGATGAATTCACAAACACACAAATTCACAAATATACCCATCTTTTTAATAATTAAGCATAATCACTGTGACCAGTTTCTGTAAAATAAATAACATTTGTTTCTGTTTCTTGTAATCCCATCTAAGAATTAATGAAGAAAACCCCACCTTAATAAGAAACCCTTAAGATATCAAACCTTACTCCAGATGTTTATCTGGGAAAAAATGCAAAGCACTATTGCTGGTGGAGCTGGAAAAATCCAGAGGGAAGTTTGCAGTATGGAACAATAAAAGATGAGTGCATGAAAATGGACCATGCAAAACAATTTAATACTAAAGACTTTTAGAATTTTTTTTTTAATTTTCAGGTTTAGATTATGATGGCTTCAAAAAAGATGTAAATTAAATATACTGTTAAATTCACACAAACTGCATATTTTTTTAGGTTTTCTGATACGTACCACATTACTGTGATTTCTGATGCCATTCTTCCACATATAGGAAGAAAAACTAAACTTTACTTTTCATAGGCATTTTTAAGTAAAACAAAAAAACCCATCACCTTGAGTTCAAATTTTTCTGAGAATGTCTGAAGTCTTCAGCCTGGTTTATCACAGTGCTTCTCCTCTCTTGCATCTACATAACTATGCTAAATTCAAACTGAATTTTGGCAGGATAAGCTAAAGCAATGCACCATTGAATCATATTCATATCAATATTAATTTTATTTTCAAGAAGTGAGAAATAGCTGTGATTTTAAAAACTGTGGCAACGTACTTCTCCCTTGTATTTTAGACTTAAAAGACTATTCTGTCATTTCTGTTGTGTACTAGTGCTAGTGCTATAAACATTTGTGTCATTGGAATAGACAAGGCACTTGAGATCTGATTAATCTGAGATTGAAGCTATCCCATGGCATTCTATAGCAAACCTGTGCCAGGTTTTTTCTGACTGAAATTCAGGTTCTGCAAGGCTAAATATAGTTATGTGTTAGACAAATATAGATACATGAGTAAAGAATGGAGAATTGTGTTCAGGGCAGGATATTTATAGCACGAGTTACTGATTTATGAGACAGTAATGAACAAGTCCTGTGACTTAACAAGCAGCCCCACAAACACACACCACCTTTAAATTTCACCAGTGCAGTTTCCAAAGAGAATATGTAAACGCTGTCCTATTATGGAAAATGTACAAGAAGCTATTTTTAAGAAGCAAGCCTAATTGCGCAGCTGTCAATGGCATAAGCCAGATCAATATTTAATGACTGTGATGCATTATTTATAGCCTTGGGAGAGATTCCCTTTTTTAGGTCAAACAGCACACAGGAGAGATGCACAATGGAAAATAATGTATCACCTGCTTTACAGAATCTTCAATTCAAAATGTAGCATGAATAACAATTTCTGCATTTCTCTGTTTTGTTGCCTGAGGTGTGGCTATTTAAGATCTACCTTCACATAGGGAGGTTTTTATGACTTTCTTAAAAACACTCCTTTAACTACAGAATAATGAAAAGAGTTGAACCAAAAAAGAAGAAACTTTTAAGACTGCTACTGTATATGACAATGTGAATGGTTGAATCCATGAAAGATGACAGATCTATGTGAATTTGATACTTGGAGTGAGTTATGTATGATGTAGCATTTGTTATTCATGCCTTATGTACCCTTAAATGTATAACGATGGGCAGCACAATGAGAACAAATTAAATTTTTGTACTGGTTTTATCTTCAGTATTTGAAACAATAGGGAAAGCATTCCTTGGCTATGTTATTCTCTGCTGTGATGTCATCTTTCGATTTAGAATTATTTTAATTACTTTTATAAGCTTGTAATTAAATAAATTTTCGTAGTTTATAGTAATTACTTCATAGTCTTCCTCAGTAATTACACTTCAGGAAGGCAATCTGGCCTTTGTTTTGGACCATGTATGACCATGCCATAGAATACGGGGGGTTATGCATTGCTGCTTTTTTATGGCACAGCAGTGTCAATCAGTTTGGTACCCTGTGTTTCCCTTCGTGTGTGGGGAAACATGAAGCTCTTCACACACTGCAGGATTTGCCAGATTGGCCTCCAAAGCTGCTCACACTCACTTCCCTTTGGCTGTCACTGCAGGGTGCTTGCTGGCACTGAGCTTTTCCCTAGTGCTATTCCAGCTGCTCAGGTTCCACTGAGAATACCAACAATAGGAAAAAAACTAAAGAAAAAACTTGAAGGTAACCAGGGCTTAAATGTTAATATTGAATTGTGTTCCCTTCTCCCCTTTTG